AGTAGCGGAGGCTTCACGTACCTTTGTTCACTTTTGTCGGTCAGTCGACGTATCGCGCCTTCGTTAAAGCATGGGGCGTACCCGTACACGAGTTCAAAGGGGCTCTTACCCGTTATCTGAGTATGACAAGTATTCAAATCGCATTGGCTGCTGGGTACATGAAGATCCTAGTCACGTCTGTCCTCTCTCTTTAAACTTGTCATTATCGCGGGAAATAAGGTTGCGTTCATGCGCTTAAGGGGTTAGGCTACTGTGACCAGCGTCGAAACAGGCTAATTTTTGGAAATTTATTCTAGAGAAACTACAAATGCAATATTTATAATGTTTGAATATGTTTTTATGTATAACTTAAGGAGTGTGTGTAAAAATGTTCATAAAAAAATATTGAAATTTCCACACGTTAATCTTCTTTGCGTCGGCTGATATTTTCCGCGCGCGATGTGTCGGTGTACACGATTTTGCAAATATGGTTGGTCTGAATCAAAAATAAAAAATATCCTCATTAACTACATGATATTAGCTATGTTGTGACAGAGCTTTTTTCTGTTTTTGGTCTTAGTTTACGAGAAAAAAATTCCTGAACTTTTTTTGCCATTTTCGGAGCTATAATGCGTGTTATTATTATTAATAAATATTGCAAAAAAAAACGTATTGACAAACTCGTTCGTCACGCCTAAACAGGTATTCCTCCGAACATGTATACTAAATTTCAAGTCAATTCATCAATCACAACGCGAGATATCGTTTACACCGTTTCAAAAAACATAGTTTTGAAAAAAACGCGTTTAAAGTTTGAGCACTAGTCGTCTACCTGCGCGTCAAATTCTTCCTTCGCTACAAACGCTATAATTCAAAAAATACTTTGAATATCTACATGGAACCTGTTGCATATTATTATAAATAGTTCAAAGTATTTTTTAATAACAAAAAAATTTTCGAAAATTTGAAAATTTCACAGTAGCCTAATCCCTTAATCATACCGTTGGCCTGCGGATGGTCGTGGGGATGTCAACGTGTGACGCATGCCGTGTAACTCGCAAAAATCGCTGAACTTTGTTGCCGTGAAACATGTTCCTCTATCGCTGATTAGGCGTCTTAGGGCTCCGTACTGAAATATGAACTGCTCTAGCGCACGGATAACTCCTGTTGTCTTCGTGCCTCATCTCGCAGAAAGAATCACAAACCTCGTGAAGTTATCTATCAGGGCGAGCACACAACATTTTTATCTTCCGCTTGTGACGAACGGACCAGTGTGGTCAATATGAACCGTCGCGAAAGGTCGGGATTCCGAAGGGATCGTGTGAACTTCTCCTTACTGTCAACCGGGTTTGCTTTTTGTCATGATACACTGTATACACGTCCGCATATGCTGCTTCACGTATCGTCGCATGCTGGGAACGTGGTGAAATTCGCGCATTTGTCTTAATGTTCGTTCCATGCCGGGGCGGTTACGCATATCATGGAAGCGAATCACTAGACTTTTTTAGATAGATAGATAGATAGATAGATAGATAGATAGATAGAGTTTTATTGGTTCTGGAAATAAATTCCCTAAGGACCAGGCAGTACAGAAGATAGTTGAACAGATAACATTCGTTATGACATAAGTAGTAAGCAGAATATTGTGCGTATAACAAAGAAAGCGCAAGTAAGAGTAGACGTAAAGATAAGGCTAAAGCTAGGAAAATTAAAGAACTAATACAGAAGTAACTAATACTAAAAACTAAGACTATGACTAAGGAATACAAGGGCAGGCCTATCAGACCGAGCCATGAGCCTGCTCTAATGCAAGCAGGTGTCGCAGAAGTCGCATCTTGAATATAGGGAATGATGAAGTGTCGGTGACGGACGAGGGCAGACCATTCCAAAAGTGTATGCCGCTAACTAGGAAGGAGTTCAGGTAGGTCGAAGTTCGCACGGGGGGGATCATGAGCGAGTCCATTCTTCCCCTCACGACCCACAAGTTCTCTCTGCATCTCGTTACGAAGGAGTCAGCGAGGTAGTGGGGATCCCTCTGTGCACTAGGGAGTAAAATAGGCAACCTAAAAAGTAGTGACGTCTATTTGCAGCTGTGAGCCACCCAAGCGAGCGTCGACCTTCTGAGACGTGTTCCCACCGTTTGATTAGAAGGACATAGCGAACTGTTGCATTAAGTGCACGTTGTAGCCGAACATTGAACTTTTTCGGAGATTACTGGGGATGATGTACAATCTCCCTCTCACTCGTCGTTAGTGGTGCCTCTCCGAGTTTCTCTAACGCGTATAGGAGCGTCTCGCTTACGCGCTGTCACCCTGCCTATAGATCATCTTGCTTGGACTCATAGAACTACCGGCGCAACTTCCTTGCCAATGACTGAGGTATTGGTGGAAGCGAGAGAATCCATTGTTTTGAATGAGAGGCTCTTATACGCGCTACAGGGACTTGCTGCGCCACTGTTAACGAGTGAGAGGGTCTTATAAGGAACGGACGCTAGGAATGAGAGAGACGCTCTTATACGCGACTCCTCCGACTTGTGACAGAAATGGTGTCCCGAGCAAGCGGAAAAGGCTACCCCCTCTACGCTCTGGCCACTCCACTCTCGTTTCGACTTATAGCTTTTATGGCGCAACGTCCTTGACGATAAAGATTGGTGGAAGCTAGGGAGCCCATTGGCTTGAATGAAACATTCTTATTCACAGGGAGCGAGCGCGTAAGCGAGATGCTCCTATACGCGTTAGAGAAACTCGGAGAGGCACCACTAATAACGAGTAAGAGGGTCTCATATGAAACAGTCACTAGGAGCGAGGAAGACGCTCTTATGCGGGACTCCTCCGACTCGTGACATAAATGGTGTCCCGAGTGAGGGAAAAAGGATATCCCCTCTACGCTCCAACTTGACTTGCTTCTAGGCTGCTGGCCGCCCCACTCTCGCTTCGCCACTCTTTCCCTAACCTCTTCCTGGGACGCCAGTAATGCCGCTCAGTATACATTAGTGCTTGACAATCGCTAACTATTGTAAATTTAATATTAATAAGTAAGGATCGGAGTCTATTAACGGCCCAAATTATCGCTATTAGCTCGAGTTTCGATGAATGATAATTCGCCTCGCCCTTATTCGTACGACGACTGATCGCGTACACAAGATTCCATCTTTTGTTAAGAACATCATCCAGGAAATAAAGAACGACCTGCTCGTGTAGGGGTTCGAGGACACGATGCATCGCCTTCATAAAGTAGAAGGGGGCGGTCATGAGTCCGAACATAGCCGTATTGAATTGTCTTGTTTCGTCAGGAGTGATAAATGCTGTCTTCGGTCGCGAGTCTTCGGTCAAAGGAATCTGTAGGTACCTTTGCATAAGATCGAGCATGATGAAGAGGTTGAATTGCCCTATTCGTTCGAGGTGCGCGTCTAAATTCGGTAAAGGAAAGTGAATTCGTCCCGTTTGTGAGTTCAAACGACGATAATCGATTACCAATTGCGGAGATCCATCTTTGTTTTGCACGATAAACGTGGGGCTAGCGTACGTCAAGTCGGTTTCGCTGCAGATAGCGGTCTCTTTCATTTCTCGTACTATTTTACGCATTTCGTCGCGTTGCTTCTGACTGGCTCGATAGAGTCTACGTGTCGCGAAATTCGTTTAGAGTGTCAACTAAATCTTTGATTTCGCATTCGTTGGCATTTGGACCGGTCTTCGCGTACGATAGGCTCTCGAGGGTCGCGTATCTCGATGATGGGTATTGTGCTTTGAACGCATTTTTTTATTTTCGATTTATTTACCCATGAATGTTAAGGGTAAATATTGTCGCATATTTATGGTAAAAAAAAAAGAGTTTCTCAACTTTAAGTTCAGATTCGAAATCAGTGGCTTCTAAAACCCCCGATTATTGAGTTTCATACAAATCAAATAACTTTTTGCATTTTGATCTGCCATATTGGATCCGCCATTTTGAATTGTTTTGCTTTGAGTTCAAATTCACAATCCTCAACCTCAAAAACCTCTGAGTACCGAGTTTCAATGAAATCCACCTGATATTTCGGTAACTGTTATCTTAGATGCAACTATTGTGAAATTTAAGTATAAGAAATTCACATAGCCGGTTTGATCTAGTGGTTAAGCGTGCTCGTCTTTAAGTAATTAAATAGTTAAGTAAAATTAGGTAGGTCGCGCAGGTCTTTGGTTCGAATCCCGCAAATGCTACATCTCGGAGAGCATATTGCGAGAATATACGATTTCTTTCTTTTTTTTTTTTTTTAATAAAATAATATTAATATTACTAAATAACTACCCCTTGAGAAAATTACGTCCTGGAGTTAATAATTAACTTTCCTATTGGTTATATTAATCAATTGAATAGTAGTGGAATCCTGTATAAGCTTCGAACATTTAGCCTTTTAAGGCCCTGAAGAAAAAAGCGTGACCGTTCTTTAAGGGTCCCTATCCCGACTAGAAATCTGGTAGGGCAACCCTGCTGTCACATATGGGCCGGATCTGGCGAAAGTAAGGCAGACTTGATGAGACAGACCTTATCAGGCGTACCGTATTCAGGGCCAAATGGGGCATAGTTAAGGCACACCTGATAAGGTGTAATTTACTCAGATTTAGATCAGGCATATGAAAGGTGCACCTTATCAGGTACAGATCTGGCAAACGTAAGGCGCAACTTCCCATGTAGGAATTGCCAACGCTTACAACAGGTCCAAGTCTGGGACAATATATGTTTATTGATAATTGGCCAAGCGTAACTCGCCTATGTTTGGGCCGTAATTGGGTTAGCATTGGTCACCAGTATTGTTATTTTTTTAGTAATTGCCAGTATCCAACCAACACTAGGCCAATGTACTACTGCCAATGATTGGCCGGATATAGACTATTAACTGTGAGCCATCATTGGTTGCCAATTATTCACCATCATTATTAATTTTTTTATATTTGCCATTGTTTAACAGACGTATAACCTATATACGATTGCCAATCATTGGCGCAGTAACGTGCAACGATTTTCGGCCATCATTGGTTGCCAATTATTCACCATCATTATTAATTTTTTTATATTTGCCATTGTTTAACAGACGTATAACCTATATACGATTGCCAATCATTGGCGCAGTAACGTGCAACGATTTTCGGCCATCATTGGTTGCCCATCATATACCAGCGTTAGTTATTGAATATATTTGCCATTTTTAAACCGATACTGGGCAATGTCCTAGTGCCAATAATTGGCCAAATAGTAAGAGTAAAATTACATATATGACCAGAGTCCCTAAGCAACACAAAAGTATACGAGAAGCACGAGCGAGCACTAGTTCGCTGCCGCATCACCAGATGGCCACTGCAACTCGCAAGCAGAATCGGAAGACCCTGAGAATAATTAGTCCTTCGATGTTGCTGTTGCTTCAATTTGTTTTGAACATTATTTTGAATAACGTGGTATTGTATTCAGCATTCCTCATCCGTGAGAAAAGTATTTCTTAATATTTTTTTCAAGACCATACCGTCCGTTCAGAGAACTCTGTGGTTTTATTTCTATTACAGCAACCAATCCAGCCATTACTGCGAAAATGGCCATTGATGCTGGTCCAATATTAGGCCTGCTGTACTTTCCTACATAGGTTATAAGGTATTACCGCATTCAGGTCCACATCAGGCGCAAATACATCGGATAAGACGTCCCTTATTCAGATCCCGAATTGGAATGGCAAAATATGTCAGGCCTCTTAAATGGCAACCCTTATCAGATCCTTACCTGGCAAATCTTATCTGGACCTGATGTACCAACGCCGTTATATCACTTATCAGGACCATATAAGGTAGCTTGAACTTAAGGTAGTAGATTCTTAAATGAACACTAGGTTTACGGGACCCGTCAATTTGACGGAATTCAAACTTTGCAATGAAATATCTCGAAAACCGCTTGATAGATTTCAACCGTTTTGCATCGTAAATTAATCATTTCTTCTAAAGAATTTATACACACAGTTTTTTTTCCCTAAGTCTTTTACTTTTTGAGATTCATATATGGTATACCTATCTCTACGGGACCCGTCAATTTGACGGAATTCAAACTTTGCAATGAAATATCTCGAAAACCGCTTGATAGATTTCAACCGTTTTGCATCGTAAATTAATCATTTCTTCTAAAGAATTTATACACACAGTTTTTTTTCCCTAAGTCTTTTACTTTTTGAGATTCATATATGGTATACCTATCTCTACGGGACCCGTCAAATTGACGGGTACGCTTATCTCGAAAATAATCCTTATATTTTTGCTTTGTTCGCCACATTATTCATCCAGTAGGAAATACAAGAGTGAAAGCAATGTCTTTATGATCTCCGTTTCCATTTCGTTATCTCAATCTCGCCTCGATAGTGTAAATTAAAGCGGGTCGTATGACCTGAGTGTTTATGTGGGTCTGCTACGCAACTTTTATTTCCTATCGCCAAAAAGAGCTCAAGAGCAAGTGGAGGAAAGAGAAAATTTATAAGAAACAGTCAGGCTTGTTATAAGCCACATGAAAACATCTCAGTAGATGAACAGTTATTTCCGACGAAAGCTCGATGCAGGTTTACGCAATATATGCCGCATAAGCCTCATAAATTCGGCATCAAGTTTTGGTTAGCAGTTGACATGGAATCAAAATATATTGTGAACGGTTTCCCTTATTTGGGGAAAGATGAAGCCCGAAGCTCACAACCGTTGGGCGAGTTTGTCACATTGGCAATAGCCGAACCATATTTAGAACGAGGCAGAAATATAACAGATAATTTCTTTACAAGCATTTCATTACAATTTCTTTACATTCTTTCCCGCTAGCTTAAAAATTGCTTGCGCGAAAAACAACGTTGGTTGGGACCATCCGGTCAAACAAACGAAAACTGCCAAAACCCGTAAAAGAAAAAAAAGATAAGATGACTTTGCTTTCCTCAGATTTATATAACTCAGAAAATTTCATCCTTACTGTATATAAAAGTAAGCCGAACATAAAAGTCCTCTTTCTAACCACCAGACATACAGGTGTACAAATAGAAGACAACCACAAACGTCTTCCAGAAACTATATCATATTATAATAAAACGAAGTTCGGAGTGAACTTCGTTGACCAGATGGCACGCAAATATAGCGTAAAAGCAGGCAATTTTCGATGGCCTCTTCACATCTTTTTCAATATATTAGATTTGGCAGCAATAAACGCGTGGATACTATATAAACAGTGCAACGGAGCCAAAATATCCAGGAACCAATACATGTTTAGTTTAGCCGAGGAATTAGGTGCGGAAAACAAGGAGAATATTTGCCAACGATCAGACGCTTTTTCATCATCTATAATACTACAAGAGCGAGAAAGTTTCCAAGTGGGCTACTGCAACAAAAATAAAAGCAGTAATTGTATATCTTGCAAAGAAGTGATATGCGGAAAATCCACAGGCAAAGTGCAATATACCTGTAAAAAATGTACTCAATAAGTAGGATTACCCGTTAGTATTATTGTTATTATTTCCATGATATTTTTCAAAGGACTTTTTATTTCTTGATACTTTATTTAAACGTGAAGCCAAATATTATGCAATTTTGAGTTAACTTGAATAAATCTGTTTTTTAAAGAAAGTGCGTATTTTCATTCACCCGTAAATTTGACGGGTGCCGTAGATATAGGTATATAAAAAATGTCCGTAAACCTAGTGTTAGGAATCCGGCTGCCACGTTCGGGCCTTGATGTCCCCTCGAACAGAATTTCTAGTCGGGCAGGACCATATAAGGTAGCCTGAACGGGGTCTTAAATTCAGAATCCGGCTGCCACGCCCGGGCCTGATGTTCTCCCGAACGGAATTTCTAGTCGGGATGGGGCTTCCATATGAGACCCCTAAGAGAATTAGGGAATATTAATCGGGGTCTTGGAAGAACCCTGATAAGCTTTTTTCGCGGGGTCTGTTATTTTGAATTCCGTAAGTATACAGGCAACGTATCTTCGATGCCCCAATTATTACGGTGTTGGAGAATCAGTATACGAGCAATGTATGGTCGCCATTTTGGGTCCAATTGCCGTGAGGTAAGTGGGAAGACCGTCCCTAACGCAGAGGTTCCGCGTTCCACTTACGGACCTTATTCGGTTGTACCGCAGCTCCGCAAAGT